CTCACCACTAATCATAGATAAACACAAGCTTGGTGTGGGGTTATGGACTAGGAAGATACTACAGTGGGAGAGTAAATGGCAGATGCTGCCGGCATCGCCATCACTTGCCATATTATGGCTTATTTTATTCATTCTAGAGTATATATCATGTTTCTGTGTATATATCATGTTTATTATCTCATATTAGATGAATTATGATAGATAAATAAGCTGTAGAGTTGAACATGGCGCTATTTTATCATGCCTCCTGAGAGGCTGGAACGGATTAATTGCATTTCACTTAATTTAAATGAAGGAAATTGACTCAGCTTACGAACAAATCAGGATACCAGCAAGGTCACGGAGCAGATTAAGTTCGTAAGCCAAGGTTCCACTGTATTAATTAATTTATGTGAAGTACAGAAAAGTACCTCCTTCAAAATGTCACTGATACCTGTTCTGCTTTCCCCTGATCCAAAAATGAACACAGTGCTCAAATACTCAATTATAATTACAGTGCCCCCCCCCCTCCCGAGTTTCATGATTAATCTGTTCCAGAGAGTCTACCAACTGGTGAAATTCACGATTGGCGAATCTATTTTCCCCATAAGGAATAATGGAAATCTAATTAATCTGTTTCGGACACCCAAAAGTATTAACAAAAAATAATTTTTTAAAAGATTAAATATAGATTTGCATACAGAAAACAACGACAAATAAATATAAAGCACTAATAAAATGGGTAAATGAGCATTTAACATCATACTAAACCTTTATTGAAGACTCTTGTTGGTGTATGGCAGACAGGTAGGAGGCGAGTTTATTATGCTTCAATATGATGTTAATATCAACTCTACGGCTTATTTATCTATCACAATTCATCTAATATCACTTAATAAACAATATTAACCCTTTCAGGGTCACCAGGCCCTCTCTGAGACTTGTTCTCAGGGTAGCCAAATTTAAAAAAAAAAAAAAAATTTCTTATGAAAAGTTAGAGAATATTTTCCCAATCATAATGACACCAAAAGTATGAAATTTGATGGAATTATGCTCTCGCGAAGTTAGCAGTCTCGATGATGTTTACGCATTAGCGATTTTGTCCACTTTGAGCCCTATTTTCGGCCAATTCCAGTGTACTGGTCGACAAAAATCATAACTATTTCTCTAGAACTCCATTTTTTCTATCGAATGAGTACAAGAAACCACCCATTTACCGATTTCAACTATCCAATAAAGTGGTCAGAATTTAGCAATTTTCCAATTTCACACAAATTTCAAAAGATGCCATTTTCTGAATAGGGTCCAGAATAAACAAGAAAGACATTCCTGGTATACTAAAATAACATTTCCTCTGTTCATTAGTCACGTCCCCATGCCCCTCTTACATTCTTTTGCTTTCCACTTTGAATTTTTATTCTCACAAAAAATAGAAGATTTACTGTTATGCAGACTACTGCATTAGTGTAGAAATGGTATAAATAATATCAGCACACTTGTGAAAGAATATTGGATTCGCCAGTTGACGTGTATTGGACACGTAGCATTTGTTTACTTTTGAACTTAGGTAAAAATCAAACATTTCTGCTACTTTGAGCTCAATTTCAAGGTACTTTTCATTGTAAAACCAGTCAAAATCATCTCAATTTCTGTAATATGTCTTCCATTCTATAAAATGAGACCAGGAAAACTAGAATACAACAATAAATACCATACGAAAATGCAGTGCACAGTCGCTGTTTTAATCCAAAAACACGGTCAAAGTTTTTTTTTTCTCATTACACACTGTGTGCTGCAGGATTTTTTTTTAATACTGCGCACACTAACAACATAGACCCATTCTTTCACATGTAGGCCTACCAGCTTTCTCTCACTAGATTTGAGTGCGCTAGAATTTAGGCGTACTAGTATGTCAAAAACCTTGGTGCGTAAGCCGTACTAGTACGTCAAAAACCCTGAAAGGGTTAATAACATAGAAACATGATATATACTCTAGAATGAATAAAATATGTCATAATGTATATGAGGAGTAAGTGGCGAAGTGTTGCTGTTGGGTTTATAAGGGCTGCTGAGAGAAGCCTTACATATTAGTGGTGGTGGAGGCAGCAGCAGAACCCACCACCACTATTGACACTTATAAATAAGAAATATTTGCACTTACCTTGGAGATGTTAGTTTAATTAGTAAGTTTGATGGAGATGGTGGCAGAGGTTTAGGATGGTGGAAGATAGCAGGGCAGCCTATGTTCATTGGCCCTATACTCCAACAACATTGGAGAGTTACTCTCATGTCATTTTTCTATTGCTTGCTTAACTTTCTTGATACACTATTAATTCTACACTTTATCACTGGCTGGAGCTATAGTCTTTATCGATACCTGCTACTTTAGTATCATACGTATCGTAGAATCACTGAAGAAGGCACATTCTCCCCTCTCTCTTCCTCCTCTACTTTGGTACTTTGCTATGAATTTTTTCTTGAATTCTATCGTGTTTCTCACCTTCTTTACCAAAGGGCTGGCACTAGGAGCTTTCTTTGGGCCCATGGTGGCTTATTTAGCAGTTGGAAGCACAAAAAAAACATGGATTATTATGAAATTTATCGTATGAACCCATGGGGTGATGGTCACTCGCTGGTAAACAATGGTGTGGGAGACTGGCTTTGTGTGCATGCTGACGGTGGACGCACACGGGACGGTCGTCGAATCACAATGCCTATCACGAACCGCGACGCTAAATTTTGGTGAAAAAAGTTGCCGAAAGTTGGATTTCATGAAAGTCAGGCCGCCGAATGGCGGGGATCCACTGTACATCCTCTCCTCACTTAATGACAGAGTTCTGTTCCTAAGACCACATCGGTAAACAAATTCGTCGCTAAGTGAGGAGAATACAGGTCTCCCGCAACATTCGCGAGGGTTAGGGGATCAAGAGCCTCGCGAATGTTGAAAAACCGTGAATGTTTGGTGCCCCAATATATTGTAGGGAAATATAATACAATACTGCCTCCTTAACTTGTTGAACCATGAACAATCATAAAATACATGAAAACGTCGTAAATTGTACTAAATATATACATGTTATGCTTTAATAACATGTATGTTATTAAATACCACAGACTCCACCAATGCCTCCACCACTTCCCCAACCACTGCGGGTCCCTACTACCCTCCCTCCGACCCCTGCAACTGGCAGCCAGCCCTCCCACCACTCAGTGTGGTGAGTGTTTTGTTTGTTCATTATTTTCTATTAAACTACAGTATAAATAATGTAAACCCATTCATGACTGCATATTGGAATGGCTATTCGGACAGGTATTGGACAGTGACATCATGTGTTTAGTCTTGAACACAGCAAAGAATCAAACTTTCTGCTACTGCTAATAATAACAATAGTAATAATAATAATAATAATAATAATAATAATAATACGATATAATTGAAGAAGGAAATTGTACAAAAATACGAGGGAGTGGTTGACACATCGTCAGTGTGGCTTTGTTTATGCTGGAGTGAGCGTTAGTCTCCCTGCTCTTCTAAACATTTCACAATAATTCAGCGGTTGAGGCAGTGGTATTTAATAACATATGTGTTATAAATAATAATAGTACATATTAATAACATGTATTATTATTATTAATAACATGTATGTTATTAAATGCCACTGCCTCAATCGCTTCCTCACCAGCTGCCTCACCCACTGCCTCAACAGCTACCTCAACAGCTGCCTCAACAGCTGCCTCAATCGCTTCCTCAACAGCTGCCTCACCCACTGCCTCAATCGCTGCCTCATTCGCTGCCTCAATCGTTGCCTCAATCGCTGCCTCAACAGCTGCCTCAATAGCTGCCTCAATAGCTGCCTCAACAGCTGCCTCAACAGCTGCCTCAACTGCTGCCTCAATCGCTGCCTCAACAGCTGCCTCAACAGCTGCCTCAACAGCTGCCTCAATCGCTGCCTCAACAGCTGCCTCAACAGCTGCCTCAACAGCTGCCTCACCCACTGCCTCAATAGCTGCCTCAACCACTGCCTCAGTCGCTGCCACCTCCCTAATTCCAACAGCTGCCTCATCGCGCCAACGTGCCACAATCGCTGCCTCAACAGCTGCCTCAACCACTGCCTCTACCACTCCAGTCGCACTCAATCTACAAGTACCAAACACAATGAATTATTGTGAAATGTTTAGAAGAGCAGGGAGACTAATGCTCACTCCAGCATAAACAAAGCCACACTGACGATGTGTCAACCACTCCCTCGTATTTTTGTACAATTTCCTTCTTCAATTATATCGTATTATTATTATTATTATTATTATTATTATTATTATTACTATTTGTTATTATTAGCAGTAGCAGAAATGTTTGATTCTTTGCTGTGTTCAGGAGTAAACACATGTCACCGTCTAATACCTGTCCGAATAGCCATTCCAATATGCAGTCATGGATGGGTTTACATTATTTATACTGCAGTTTAATAGCAAATAATGAACAAACAAAACACTCACCACACTGAGTGGTGGGAGGGCTGGCTGCCAGTTGGGGGGGTCGGTGGGAGGGTAGTAGGGACTCGCAGGTGGCGGGAAACTTGAATATGATTTGGCGGCTGGGAATTTGGTGGCTGGGAATTTGGCGTTTGGGAATTCGCGAATGTGTGAAGCCCGCAAAAGCTGAAAACGTGAATGTTGAGGGAGACCTGTACTATAATGGTGGTGGGTTTGTGTCAACCATCTTCGATTTTGTTTTAATGTCACCTTTGTACTATTTATAACATTTCTGGTATATTTTTAAATGTGTAAACATTAGTGTGAGATATATTGTAATAAACAGAATAGAAGAAATTAGCTCTAATATTCATTATTTAGGTATGCATACTGTCAGAGAGCCCTTCGTAAGTCCGAGTTGTTGGTAAACGAGTACGTTGCTAAATGAGGAGATGCTGTATTATATTCATTTTCAGAATAATCATTGATGTTTATTAATTTTTTTTGAGATACACTTTGTTTTTAATTGAATACTCTTTATTTTTCAGGAAATACAAGCCACTCTTCAAAGAGTTAACTGTTTGGCCAGAACTAAACTTGTCCAATCCACCTGGAGTATCGCCATTTGCTGACCTTAAGCAGACCAAAACACGCCAAAACCTAAAGACTTCTTCAGCACACAGAGACGATTTTAGAGAAAAGTTTGTTGTGTATTTTGTTCTTTCCCTTCATATTCCATTTAAAATGTCTGTGTTTGTTTTAATATTTCTCCTTGATTGTTTTATATTTAGTTGTACTGTACAGTGGAACCTCAAATATTGAACTTTCTTCGGTCCAGAGGGCTGTTCGAGTGCCTTTACCGAATGAATTTATTCCCATCAGGAATAATGTAAATTAGATTAGTCCATTTCAGACCCTCAAAAATACACTTATAATAGCACTTACAAAAATACATTTACATAACTGGTCGTGTTGGGAGCAGTTCGATTTTTGAGGTTCCACTGTATTTCAATCTGCCACATTTTTTCAATCTGCAGATTTTCTTTTCAGTGAATGCATTTAATAAATGTTTTGGATTATTGCCACAGGTTGACCATCACTAATCCGGCATCATCAGGACCTGTAAGGTGCTGAATTAGTGATTTTGCCAGATTACAAAGTGGTTAGGTTAGAATACACTTGACTCAACCGTGATATTTACGCATCGGCGATTTCACTCACTTTGCAACCTATTTTTGTCCCATTCCATTGTTCCAGTCGACCAAACTCATAGTTCTTTCGTTTAATTATTTCAGCTACCCAATAAAGTGGTCAGAAATTAATCCCTTAACTGTCCATAGGTAGATCTACGTTCTCTCCCCCAGTGCTCCGAATATTTTGAAAAAAGAAAAAAAATAATTTAAACGAAAAGGACACTTTTTTACATAATGTGATGCAAGGTGATGCAAGGAGGGAAGAGTATATGGAGAAAAAGAGAGAGGTTAAGAGAGTGGTGAAGCAATGTAAAAAGAGAGCAAATGAGAGAGTGGGTGAGATGTTATCAACAAATTTTGTTGAAAATAAGAAAAAGTTTTGGAGTGAGATTAACAAGTTAAGAAAGCCTAGAGAACAAATGGATTTGTCAGTTAAAAATAGGAGAGGAGAGTTATTAAATGGAGAGTTAGAGGTATTGGGAACATGGAGGGAATATTTTGAGGAATTGTTAAATGTTGATGAAGATAGGGAAGCTGTGATTTCGTGTATAGGACAAGGAGGAATAACATCTTGTAGGAGTGAGGAAGAGCCAGTTGTGAGTGTGGGGGAAGTTCGTGAGGCAGTAGGTAAAATGAAAGGGGGTAAGGCAGCCGGGATTGATGGGATAAAGATAGAAATTTTAAAAGCAGGTGGGGATATAGTTTTGGAGTGGTTGGTGCAATTATTTAATAAATGTATGGAAGAGGGTAAGGTACCTAGGGATTGGCAGAGAGCATGCATAGTTCCTTTGTATAAAGGCAAAGGGGACAAAAGAGAGTGCAAAAATTATAGGGGGATAAGTCTGTTGAGTATACCTGGTAAAGTGTATGGTAGAGTTATTATTGAAAGAATTAAAAGTAAGACTGAGAATAGGATAGCAGATGAACAAGGAGGCTTTAGGAAAGGTAGGGGGTGTGTGGACCAGGTGTTTACAGTGAAACATATAAGTGAACAGTACATTGGACCCCCGGTTAACGATATTTTTTCACTTCAGAAGTATGTTCAGGTGCCAGTACTGACCGAATTTGTTCCCATAAGAAATATTGTGAAGTAGATTAGTCCATTTCAGACCCCCAAACATACACGTACAAACGCACTTACATAAATACACTTACATAATTGGTCGTATTCGGAGGTAATCGTTATGAGGGGGTCCGCTGTATTTAGATAAGGCTAAAGAGGTCTTTGTGGCATTTATGGATTTGGAAAAGGTGTATGACAGGGTGGATAGGGGGGCAATGTGGCAGATGTTGCAGGTGTATGGTGTAGGAGGTAGGTTACTGAAAGCAGTGAAGAGTTTTTACGAGGATAGTGAGGCTCAAGTTAGAGTACATAGGAAAGAGGGAAATTATTTCCCAGTAAAAGTAGGCCTTAGACAAGGATGTGTGATGTCACCGTGGTTGTTTAATATATTTATAGATGGGGTTGTAAGAGAAGTAAATGCGAGGGTCTTGACAAGAGGCGTGGAGTTAAAAGATAGGGAATCACACATAAAGTGGGAGTTGTCACAGTTGCTCTTTGCTGATGACACTGTGCTCTTGGGAGATTCTGAAGAGAAGTTGCAGAGATTGGTGGATGAATTTGGTAGGGTGTGCAAAAGAAGAAAAATAAAAGTGAATACAGGAAAGAGTAAGGTTATGAGGATAACAAAAATATTAGGTGATGAAATATTGGATATCAGATTGGAGGGAGAGAGTATCGAGGAGGTGAATGTATTCGGATATTTGGGAGTGGACGTGTCAGCGGATGGGTCTATGAAGGATGAGGTGAATCATAGAATTGATGAGGGGAAAAGGGTGAGTGGTGCACTTAGGAGTCTGTGGAGACAAAGAACTTTGTCCTTGGAGGCAAAGAGGGGAATGTATCAGAGTATAGTTTTACCAACACTCTTATATGGGTGTGAAGCATGGGTGATGAATGTTGCAGCAAGGAGAAGGCTGGAGGCAGTGGAGATGTCATGTCTGAGGGCAATGTGTGGTGTGATTATAATGCAGAGAATTCGTAGTTTGGAAGTTAGGAGGAGGTGCGGGATTACCAAAACTGTTGTCCAGAGGGCTGAGGAAGGGTTGATGAGGTGGTTTGGACATGTAGAGAGAATGGAGTGAAACAGAATGACTTCAAGAGTGTATCAGTCTGTAATGGAAGGAAGGCGGGGTAGGGGTCGGCCTAGGAAAGGTTGGAGGGAGGGGGTAAAGGAGGTTTTGTGTGCGAGGGGCTTGGACTTCCAGCAGGGGTGCGTGAGCGTGTTTGATAGGAGTGAATGGAGACGAATGGTTTTTAACCCTTTGAGGGTCGAGAGGCCCTCTCCGAAACTCGTTCTCAGGGTCGGCCAAATTTAAAAAAAAAAAAAAATTATTTTCTCTTACGAAAAGATAGAGAATCTTTTCCCGATCATAACGACACCAAAAGTTTGAAATTTGATAGAAAACTTACGGAATTATGCTCTCGCAAAGTTAGCAGTCTCGGGGATGTTTACGGATCGGCGATTTTGCCCACTTTGAGCCCCATTTTCGGCCAATTTCACTGTACTAGTCGACAAAAACATGAATATTTAGCTAGAAACTCATTTTTACTATCGAATGGGTGCAAGAAACCACCCATTTATAAATTCAACTATCCAGTACAGTGGTCAGAATTTAGCACTTTTGCCAATTTTCACCACAAATTTCAAAAGATGCCAATTTCGGAATAGGGTCCAGAATAAACAAGAAAGATATTCCTGGCACTAAATGACATTTCCTCTAGTCATTAGTCACGTCTCAAGGCCCCTCTTATATCTTTTGCTTTCCACTTTGAATTTTTATTCTCACAAAAAATATAAGATTTACTGTTATGCAGACTACTGCATTAGTGTAAAAAATGGTATAAATATTATTGGTGCACTTGTGAAAGAATATTAGACTCACCAGTTGACGTGTATTGCACGCTTGGCACGATTTGTTTACTTTTGAAGTTTGGTAAAAATCGAACATTTCTGCTACTTTGAGCTCAATTTCAAGGCACCTTTCATTGTAAAACCAGTCAAAATCATCTCAATTTCAGTAATATGTCTCCCATTCTATAAAATGAGACCAAGAAAACTAGAATACAACAATAAATACTATACGAAAATACACTGCAAAGTCGCTGATTTATTAAAAAAAAATGGAAAAAGTTTTTTTTTTCTCATTATGCACCGTGTGCTGCAGGATTTTTTTTAGACTGTGCACACTGACCACATAGACCCATTCTTTCATATGAAGGCCTACCAGCTTTCTCCCACTAGATTTGAGGTCGCTAGAATTTATGAGTACTAGTACGTCAAAAACCCCTACGCGTAAGACGTACTAGTACGACGAAAACCCTCAAAGGGTTAATACTTGACGTGCTGTTGGAGTGTGAACAAAGTAACATTTATGAAGGGGTTCAGGGAAACCGGCAGGCCGGACTTGAGTCCTGGCGATGGGAAGTACAGTGCCTGCACTCTGAAGGAGGGGTGTTAATGTTGCAGTTTAAAAACTGTAGTGTAAAGCACCCTTCTGGCAAGACAGTGATGGAGTGAATGATGGTGAAAGTTTTTCTTTTTCGGGCCACCCTGCCTTGGTGGGAATCGGCCAGTGTGATAATAAAAAAAAAAAAAATCTAGTCAGTACTTACAGAGATATAAGGCCACAAAGTCAGCACTTGTCACTCATCTGATGGCAGTATGAAGCGCTGCCACCTGCAGAATTTTAGATTTTGCCACCGAAGTGGCTAGTTTATTGTGCACCACATATCCATTCTGTGGACGGTAGCACGAGCATATGGATACACTAAAGGCCTAGAAACTAGGCCCCAAAGGGTTAACAGGAATACATATGGATTTATATCTACATATCTATAGTTCACCTATCTGTTACAAGCAAATTTAGGAAATTTGCTTAGTATACCTGGTATCTTATTTTTATTAATAAGATATCTTGACATGTCACATAGGTTATTATACAGTCTATCTCTATTCCTCAATAAGCGGACAATTAAGCACATAGTGTTCAAGAGAGTGACCATATGCCTGATCACATAATTTGCATTTAATTTGATCATCATCTGTGTGTCTCCTAAACTGCTAGAAGTACTTGTAACCAAACCTAAGCCTGGCCACTACAACATCAGTCAGTCTGTTCACATTGCAAGTTACTCCATAAACATACTTATCTATGTTTGTGTTATCATAGTGGGTTATAGATCTACTTAGGCTTCTAACTGCATTCCTATGACAATCATTTTCCTTATTTACTTCTCGCCTAATATTATTCCTGGTGCTAGACACACATATACCAAAGTTATATTCTACATTCTCCTTCTGGGTACTCTTCTTGGCTAACATATCAACTTGATGGGATCTATAGTAATTGTACATTAATTCCTTTGGTCCCTGATTTTTGAGTATGTATACCTGGCTTCTCCAATGAGCATGTTGTTGGAATCATTATATGAGTTAAGAGCATTC